ACCGACTATATCCAGATGCCCAAACTCGATTCAGAGTCGCATTACCCGATGACGTACAGACACAGTGATGTCAATTGTGACGATATTTTGTATGAAGTCATTTCAGTAATGAAATATAGCTAACTTACTGTACAGGTAGCATCTTGAAGCGCATGATATGTTTAACATTTACTTAATCAGTGGCACGCTTATTCCTACAGCCAAAAACGTTTCCATTGACAGAGAGTGTTGTATACAGACAAATATGGCAGTGATCGGGTTAACTTCGGTTAGGTTTGTGATATAATTGCGATGTCAAGAATTTTAAAAAATCGGCCAGGAACAAAACAAGACTTCTGTCCATGGGGACGCCTGTGTTAATATTCTAGTGGCTTTTAGCGGTCTAAACAATCTACCTGTATCGATACTTGCGTTTCCCTCTCTTGTCAATCATCATAAGATCAAACGGTTCATTTCAGTTGGAATCTTCGTGACGCCATCTTGCTTTATAGAACAGAAGACATACTGCAATCACTTAGGGATTTCCTTGCCGTCAGTGAAGTACGAACAAAAACGCAGCAAGCTCTCAAAGTCATCACAAGTAAACAAGTTGACATTCAAATAAAACAACAAAACAAAAAAATCCACAACAGGATCTTAATTTAAACTCAATTCCAATAAGAGTAGAGTAAAATTCGAACGAAGATTTACACGGAGACCCCTGACACGTAAAAGGAGAATTATAGAAAAGGGAAGAAGACATCTTCTACATCGACAACATCCGCCATGTAAGTCGTTGTTTGAACACAAAAAGCAATCGCCAAAGCTAAGTTTAAAAATCCCCATCACAAAGCTGTTATAGTACCTACATCTCATTCTCATTGATTTACACGTAAATAGATAGCACTGCCTGATGAACTTGACCTAAACGAGCAGTATATCGCTAATACCATTCTCACTAATACCATCAACAATTTGTAGCGTTTCACCAAAATATACGACTTTATCTAATCCTGCTGTAATGTCCGAAATTAACGGTCGTGACGATTAATTCTCCTGGCAAATAAATGGAATCTAGCGGCGATAAACATACTGAATTCTTCCGGTCTTAAATGGTGTCTGGTAGGTAGCCGATCGATATCATCCCAAACGTATGTCCCGAATCACATATTAATAAAAATAAAAATCAATCAAAAATGGGATCGGTTGTTGATAACATATGAAAAGCTTTTGTTTTGAAATACAATATTTGCACTGTATTTAAATCTAGTGTTGAAACAAAACACATTGATTTATTGTTACTAAAAGGACATCATATACGTCACTGAAAATTGAAATTATAAAAAAAAACATTTTAAATGTATTCCTGCAGGAAAAATTAAACATTTATAAACTGATTGACACAAAACCGTTTTCGACTAAATAACTACCGAAATGTGCGATTTCAGAAGCACAAAATAAACATGCACAGTAAAACAACGTCCTGAAACAGTTTTAATGACGGGTGACAGTTTAATTTTTTTTTGAGGAAATATGTATATATTTACCATATTACTTCGTGATTTGGTATAAGAGAAAGATAGTTATTAAAGACAGAATATCATATTGGTGTTTTAACGATAATCTAAACGTTTATAAGCTTTCAGTGCGCAGTTAATTTCCAAAACTATGGCTGTTTTTAGATGAACAGTTATTGAGTCTAATATAGTGGATGTTTTACTAGCGAGACGATTACGATTCGTGCCTCTTAATGTTTTGTACTTGTAGGCTACAAAACAAGATTTAAAATAAATTAAATAATTAAATAATTAATAACGTTATTAACTCCTCTTATATTATAACAATAACATTACGTCACAATGTAGGTTACTAAGTAACGTACAGTGTACATGTAATGTAATCACCTGAAGATGGCCGCGAGGCCTGGAAACGTTAGTGATATATTTGTTTGTCATGTTAAGTGATTAATTTTCTCAATATATATATATATATATAGTTTCCATAGGAGATCTATTCGCGATGATAGATGTTTCTTAGCACTAACAGCCTGTCTCAGCCATGTCACTTATACCCATCACCAATAGTGATGGGACCAATGATGATTTAACCGTCATTTTCTTCCTAAATAAATGGCTGGTATTAGTTAGAACAGATTACTGCTATTAGCCGAGAAACGTAATCGGGCTGGTCCAGATACACATCTAAACAATGATGTCACATACTGTAGGTAAAATGACGCGGTATCCTTTTACTTGATACAAGTGGATGTATCAGCGGAAATGTATACCCAATGGTATCAATATTAGTCCATGTTAAACGACAAAGTAGACAATTTCTATTCTGATAGTGCCCACTTTACGATAGAAAGTTTTTAATGTGTGCTGAATTCCAACGGCAAGTGGATTGAACATTCAGATAGCTAAAACGTTCCATTACAGCCATATTTGCTGTTTGACCGGATATTTGTTTCTCCTACTTTCTAATTAGAATTGATATACTTTGATTTGCAATTCTTGATAATGCCCGCCGAACATTAACTGTAGCAACCAACCAGAGGCTAGTACACATCAACTTCCATTCACAGAAATACTTATTGCATTTGTCATACATTCAAAACTTGATCGCCGTTTTTGAAGACCGACAGGTGCATCTATACACGTTTGCCGTTTCATATCATTTTTAAGTCGTGTTGGAAACTCTGCTCGGGAAACGAAAGGATAAGGTTAAACCAATAGGAAGATACCGGCCTAAAACACGTACTTCTAATATTGTCTGTGAGACCTTCATATATAAAGGAATTTACTGACCAAAAAATGTGATATACTTCTACAACAACCAATATCACTGACTTCTGCTGTTGGAAACATCTTGTAAATAGTAGTTAACCGACGGTTGTATTAACATATTAAAGGAGATTTCTCCGGTTTACCAACATCATTCGAGTTTATGTATTGCCAATTTACATAAAATTAAACAGCATGTTGATGTGTATCATCGGACGTACATTGCGCTGAAGAAAAAAGCATACGCGTTTAGTTTTTTGTGGTCTACACAGAGTCAGTTTTGACAAGGTTTAGCATTGGCTGTTATTAAGATTGTATGGCATATCAGACGAATATTGATGATTGAAGATAACTTATTCCATAGACGTCAGTGTCTGCATGTGAAATGTATCACCATCATCTTGAATTACAACAGCAGTAGAACAGATTTATCAAAAGGTGCAACTTAACACTTACATTTGCTACCGAGCATGATTAACTTCAGTGTAAATCAATTATGCCGAATCACGTTTGATTCTCGTTTAATCGAGAAGTGGTAGACATGTGATTACTTTATCTATTCAGTTTAGAATCATTACATTGCATCATGTTTGAATTTGAACGACCTTTACAAACACAGGCAGTACAATCCCTCACAATCCGGAATAAGAGAATATCCTCATATCTGAAAATCCGACATCGTTCGGAACTAAAGGACACCCACGGAGAAAACATATATTCTCACTTTCAGAGCGCGTTCGGTTATGAAGTTTAAGCTCCTGTGTTTTGTAAGAGTTCATTATCCAATAATATCCTTTTAATCGCCGACACATTCCTTTTGCAACCATGTTAATCAATATTAAATTTCAAAAATGGAAACTCAATATGAAGTAAAAAAAATAAATCACTTTTGAGGAAACGTTTTACTGTAAGGCCGAAAGGCCGTGGGTATATAAGCAGTTGAAAAGTCCATTAAATGGAGAAGAATGTGTTCTATGACGAATTAATTCGGAAAGAGCTTTATAAAAGTTTACAAATGTGTGCCATTTTCTTTGTCACAATAGAATTTGTTTAAATGAACTATTTATCAGTTTATTTTTTCTAAGTTTATGTCAAATGTTCAAATGGAATGATGAAAATATTTCCCGTGAGATATAGTGCATTAAAGCAGTGAACTGCTTTCAGTTGTCATTCATGGTCATATGAATGTCAACAGGATAAGGACAAATTCAATGAAGTGCGTTAGAGCTACGTGTTGAATTTGCTTCCTGTGGCATTATTACTCGGGAGTGCTAACACAAAGTTTTCATATTTCAATGCATATCAAGTTTATCAGAAAATGCAACCCCACTCTTTTTTTTTTTTTTTTTTTTTACATATTTAGCAACATTTCTCTACTGCTGGCAGTTCATGAGATGGTAATACACGACTGACTTTGGTAAATTCACACCGTAGCAATGTCTTACCGTGGTAAATATTTCCAAATCCATATACTTATTTCGATGAATGTTCGTTTAACCCGGTCAACGGTTCTTATATTCTTTGTGAAGTGTTTGCTTTGTTTGTAATAATCAAATCTGTTTATCAAGTTTGGGAAACCTGTTCGCTTAAAAGAGAAATCAGGGATTGATTGTCTTAGACAGAAACATAAAATGAACCGTATGGCGAGCGATAGTGCCTTCTAACATCGCGTGCAGCAATTAACAGAGGTAAACAGTACTGTTTGATTGGTTCGGTGCTAAAATTACAAAAATCAACCCAGTAATAGCATAGTGATGTCCGAGATAGTATGACGTGACGGAGATATTCCGTGACAAAGCCATGTAGACTGTACACATAATCAATTAGCAATGTTTTACTGCCGAGAAAGTCGCGTCTCTCTATATGCATATGTACATTTAATAAGTTCCTCACATCATGTCATCTCCTTCTTTTTCAAACTTAACACACATTTCGCTTGTGTATTGTCTTTTAAAATGAAAATAAAACCTTTCAATTAAAGAATCCATTAAATAATGACTGTATTGTGGTATTTCATTAAAATTGTCCTTTCTGTCTCTTATACTATACCTAGAAATATTTTACTTACACAAATACACCTTATAAACAACAAATCTCAAATAACCTTTCACTTTTCAATTATATTTTGATTTGATAGTTTCTCTATTAAAAGGAAAATATATTTGAATGTGATCAAAATAAGAGAAAAAGAGATGTTTTGTGACAATAGCCATACAATATATATATTTATCTACTTACCAATGAACGCTCCTATTGTGTTCTGAGAAGTAAGAATTGTATTTACAACAGCGTATAGTCCGCGTCCGGTGTCACATTCAGTGTTTTCTACGATAACGTCAAAGATGATATCATTGGCTCTTAATCCTGTAAGATTGGCATCAGAATTCAGGTCTGAAACTGCCATTTCAGCAACGGAGTCAAGTTGGGTTCCATACGACCTACTTCCGCTTACGGGTACCAGGAACACCAAAGTGATGTTGACTTCTGATTCAACTTCGACAACCAACGAGGAAACAATCAGCAATATCACGCAACGTACGATTCCGTATGACGTCATAGCCCAACACAGTATGATGTCATTGATATTTAGTTTTTTTTAAATGCGAGAGTTCGTTAACTTTTCAATTTGATTTGATTCCTCGTTCGTTGTCCAGAGCTCACTGGTAAATCCGATAGCGTGCCAGCTATAATGCTTTATAAAAGTATTGATTCTGTCAATGACACTACCTATGGTGAGTTCAAGTCTTTTGTCTAATTTTTAATTGCTATTTAGTGATTATACACACCTTTAGATATATCGATTGAAGACGCCTTTCTACGGCATATGAAATAATTGGTAATTCAGTTAAGGCGAATAACGCCCATCCTGAACGCAATAAAGCAACATGTGAAATAAAGTTCGGATCAGAAGCGTCGCACGAGAAGTGATCACTTAATAAGACCTCTTGTGAAACTATCAGTTTCAAAGAAGATGACAAAAGAGACATTTTTCCAAAGTAAAGTTCAATTAGTACGCAATGCCGATAGCTACTCATGGCTTTCATCGTCTTCAAAGAAACACTTGTCAGTCTGTGGACCCATTACTGCCGAAACTATTGTTCATCAGAGATCAAATAGAATGTCCGAGTCAGTAATGTTGACTGCTCTTGTGCATTAGCGCAACGGATATCCTCAAAACTTCCGTAAATGTTGGTGCACGGAGGACATGCATTGCGTGTTGGTTTGACTTTGACTGGTACCGTAACTAGCAAAAGCGGAAGCATTACAGGCAAATCGACTGCTCCATACTAACGTTGATGGAGATATGGTGTAGTGTCACCTGTATTCATTATATATATAAACCTTAGTACTGAGAAATTTAACTGCATATAGTCCTTTACGTCACATTGGTTTACAGGGTACATAATCCCTTAAGATAATTATTAAATGTAGGTGCAGCGTACAGGTATACATTTCCTCTGTAATGATATCCAGATAACAGGAGTGATGATGAAAACATTGCCTATAAGTTAGTTATGTATCCCTGCAGGATTACCATGATGGCGAGATTCAGAGCCGCCGTTGTGATCGTGTCCAGAACTGCTTATGGTCCAGTCGATCTGTTATAGTGAATATACATCATTAGTTTGGGCGGTTGACGGAAGAATACAAAATAATTGATGGTGGTAAATTTGATTAAACGTCCTTGAAGTAACCTTACCGAAACACGTGTTAGTCAGCCAATGTGGTACATTATACAGTACCGCCAATATATCTTTATTAGTTCCTATGGACTGGCATTCTTTCAAAATGCGCCAGCTCGTTATTTGCATTTGTCAAGATAAAAATTACACGTGCATGTATGTTACATATTCGCAATAATATCCGGTTGTGTGCAGGTACCATATTGTTTGTAGTTAGAATCTTTATCAATAAAAATTACCACATTCTGAATTATTAAAACGTTAAACGGAGAAAGTATGTACTGGGAATCATACTGTATTCAATTCAACAAATAATTCATGGGAAAACATTATATGTATGGAAAAAACAAATAATTATACGCGGATTGTCTGTGATGACTGTTTATATAATGTTAGTGTATCTATGTCTGTGATGACTGTACATTATATATCTATGTCTGTGGTGACTGTACTTTATATATCTATGTCTGTGGTGACTGTTAGAACCTATGTCTGTGGTGACTGTTATATATCTATGTCTGTGGTGACTGTACATTATATATCTATGTCTGTGGTGACTGTTAGATATCTATGTCTGTGATGACTGTTAGATATCTATGTCTGTGGTGACTGTTAGACATCTATGTCTGTGATGACTGTTAGATATCTATGTCTGTGGTGACTGTACATTATATATCTATGTCTGTGGTGAGTGTTATATATCTATGTCTGTAGTGACTGTTATATATCTATGTCTGTGGTGACTGTACATTATATATCTATGTCTGTGGTGACTGTACATTATATATCTATGTCTGTGGTGACTGTACATTATATATCTATGTCTGTGGTGACTGTTATATATCTATGTCTGTGGTGACTGTACATTATATATCTATGTCTGTGGTGACTGTACATTATATATCTATGTTTGTGGTGACTGTACATTATATATCTATGTCTGTGGTGACTGTACATTATATATCTATGTCTGTGGTGACTGTTATATATCTATGTCTGTGGTGACTGTTATATATCTATGTCTGTGGTGACTGTATATTATATATCTATGTCTGTGGTGACTGTACATTATATATCTATGTCTATGGTGACTGTACATTATATATCTATGTCTATGGTGATTGTTAGATATCTATGTCTGTGGTGACTGTACATTATATATCTATGCCTGTAGTGACCGTAAATTAGATATCAAATTGCATGTCCAATGTTTTATCGATTTTTGATTTGAGTGATTGATATAGACTTTCATGATTAGTTTTGATAAGTTGATTTGAATATTCATTGAAATATAAGTAGTCACTTTATTGATTAATCCATGCATCTATTGATCTATTGATGACGTTTTGCTCTTACAATAATCACAATAATTAGAGACTTTTGTCCAGTTTGGAAATAATTGCTCAAATTCTTCTAAATAATAAAAGTTTTATTTTTCTAACTAAACCCAATTGATTGTAGTGGGAAGAATCGACTTATCTGACGCCAACAGTGTTAATTACAGTCCACGGATGTTCGGCAGCTGAATTTCAATATTGATGTAAGTACCGCAGGTACATATAAATGTTTACATTGTCCAAGACATTGTACCGTGTAAACATGTCATTACAACAAATGTAGTGTGTAATTTGTCTGAAGAAGATTTTCAAACACAATAAATGGCATATGTCATAATGGTAATCAATATATGTATCTGTAATTAAGGCTAGCTATTTACCAGCAGGTGACATCCGTGTGTTTGTTGTAGCGAGTATATTTGAAGAAAAAATATAATGAGAATGGTTTAAATATTTTAATTCTAAACAATGTTTAAACAGAATCTTTAAACCTCAGAACTATAATCACTTACATACCTGGTCCGCAATTAATGACAATGGTGCAGTTCCCACAAATAGCGTATTAACTGTAGGGCATAAACACACAAAGCTTAGGAACTCTTTGTCCTGAAGCAAAACAAAACTGATAAAAAAACATGTACTCAAAACACAACGCTTGGCGCCATAATGATCTTCGGTTACCGAATAAAAGAAGATGTTGATGTAGGTGAGTCTTTGGAGGTATTTGTGACCTAGTGACAGAAATAAAACACCACTAATTAATGTACTGTTAAATCTATGTTTGCGTGTATTCTAATCCAGTCAGTCTAATAGTAAAATCACATTTTTATGAACATTATTACTGCTTTTAAGATAAAAAGGGAAAGAAAAATTGGCAAGAAATTTCATTTCGTCTCACGTTGTTTTAAAAGATGATGGTTTAACGGCCTGTTCCGTATTCCGTATCATGTGAAGTCATTCATCATAGTGCTTTTGCGTTATCTCAATAACTTCTAATAAAAAAATAGTCGGCAGCTAATCTCGTCTGTATATACATATTACAGGAGCTAACCAGGCGTTGACTGCCTAACCTGTATACCCTATTACAGAAGCTAACCTGGCGTCGACTGCCTAACCTTTATAAACCTATTACAGAAGCTAACCTGGCGTTGACTGCCTAACCTGTATACCCTATTACAGAAGCTAACCAGACGTTGACTGCCTAACCTGTATACCCTATTACAGAAGATAACCAGACGTTGACTGCCTAACCTGTATACACTATTACAGAAGCTAACGAGGCATTGACTGCCTAACCTTTATAAACCTATTACAGAAGATAACCAGGCGTTGACTGCCTAACCTTTATAAACCTATTACAGAAGCTAACCAGGCGTTGACTGCCTAACCTGTATACCCTATTACAGAAGCTAACGAGGCGTTGACTGCCTAACCTGTATACCCTATTACAGAAGCTAACGAGGCGTTGACTGCCTAACCTGTAAACCCTATTACAGAAGCTAACGAGGCATTGACTGCCTAACCTGTATAAACCTATTACAGAAGCTAACCAGACGTTGACTGCCTAACCTGTATACCCTATTACAGAAGCTAACAAGGCATTGACTGCCTAACCTGTATACCCTATTACAGAAGCTAACGAGGCATTGACTGCCTAACCTTTATAAACCTATTACAGAAGCTAACCAGGCGTTGACTGCCTAACCTGTATACCCTATTACAGAAGCTAACGAGGCGTTGACTGCCTAACCTGTATACCCTATTACAGTAGCTAACGAGGCGTTGACTGCCTAACCTGTAAACCCTATTACAGAAGCTAACCTGGCGTTGACTGCCTAACCTGTATAAACCTATTACAGAAGCTAACCAGACGTTGACTGCCTAACCTGTATACCCTATTACAGAAGCTAACAAGGCATTGACTGCCTAACCTTTATAAACCTATTACAGAAGCTAACGAGGCATTGACTGCCTAACCTGTATATACATATTACAGAAGCTAACCTGGCGTTGACTGCCTAACCTGTATACCCTATTACAGAAATTAACGAGGCATTGACTGCCTTACCTGTATAAACCTATTACAGGAGCTGACCTGGCGTTGACTGCCTAACCTGTATAAACCTTGGGAACCAAGCGTTGACTGCCTAACCTGTATACCCTATTACAGAAGCTAACGAGGCGTTGACTGCCTATTCTGTATAAACCTTGTGAACCAGGTATTGACTGCCTAGCCCGTATTAACCTTGTGAACCTGACGTTGGCTGTCTAGCATTGATAAACTTGGAAGAGGACGTTAAGCAGCCGTCTTAGTTTTTATTACAAAGCCAAGTAAGAAATTTATGTTTTAGTATCTTAGACATGTTCTGTGATATTAATCAATAAGTATTCCAGTTAATTTGAATGGGTCTTAAAGTCTGAATTTTTGATAAATTTTATCTTGGTTTAATATTTAAGATAGTCTTGAGATTTCTAGTTCTGGTAATACGAATTCTAAAGGTTTCACAATTTTCGCTCTAATCTATTGAGCTTTCAAC